TTTTCAAGGTTAAGGAAGGAATCAAATTAGTGATATTGAAGAGATTTAAGGCAAGGTTGGTTGCTATGGGGTTCACTTATAAATAAGGAGTCGACTTAGAATTTGAACAAATGGATGTGAAGACCTCCTTTCTGTATGGTGATATAGATGAAACAATTCTAATGAAGCAACCTGAAGGGTATGCGAAAAGAGGCAAGGAAGATTATGTGTGCAAGTTGAATATGTCATTATATTGTTATGAAACAATCTCCTTGACAATAGAATAGGAGATTTGATAAGTTCATGGCACATATAGGCTTCACTATGAGCCAGTTCAACCATTGTTTTTACTCAAGTTTCAATATGGAAGTTCACTTATTATTTTGTTGCTTTATATGGATGATATTCTCACATCAAGCAATAATGTTGAGGATGTAATGAAGGTGAATACTGAACTCAATGAGGAGTTTGAGGTGAAGGATTTTGGAGTTTCCACCATGATTCTTAGGAATGATATATGGAGAGATAGAAAGCAGTCGAGATTATGCTTATCTCAAGAAACATACTTAAGGAAGTTTCTCGACAAATTTAGTATGTCGAATTCAAATCATGTTGTAACACCAACAAATCCTTAAATCAAGCTGAGTACGACTCAAAGTCCAAGTACTAAAATCTAAATAGCCTGTATGAATAGAATTATGTACGCTAGTATAGTAGGTTCTTTGATGTATGTTATGGTCTTTATGAGATCGGACATAGCGACCTAGTAAGCAGGTATATAGACAATCCTGGGAAGATACACTGGCAAGTTTTGAAGTGGATTTTTAGATACATAAGAGGATCCTTGAGTAGGGTATTGATTTATGGTTGAGCCAAAGATGATGCGAAAGCCGAAGTCAAATGATTTGTTGACTCTGACAATGTGTAATGTATGGATACCATAAAATCTCTTTTTGGATATGTTTTCACTATGCTTGGTACATCAATCAGTTGGAAAGTTATGCTCCAGAAGGTTGTTGCCTTATCAACCACTGAAGATGAATATATTGCTCTCACTGAAGCTGTAAAAGAAGCATTGTGGCTTGAACGATTTGCTAAAAAATTGAAACTTCAAGGCCAAGATATCCCTGTTAAATATGATAGTCGAAGTTCCATACATCTGTAAAAGAATTAAGCCTACCATGAGAGAACAAAACACATTAATGTTAGGTTGCATTTTGTCATAAAGAAAATCTAAAGTGGATAAGTCAAAGTAATTAAGGTTTTGACTGATCATAATATTGTTGTTATGATCACTAAGTCATTGTCAAGCAACAAGTTCTTCCATTGTATACTGTTGATAAAGGTGCATGATGATAACTAGTTATTCCCCTCCTACTGTAGAGTTTGTTCTAAGGTGAATATTTGTGATATTTTGGATCGAACTTTAGTCTCGACAAAACTAGCTTCATGGTTTGACTGGGAAGTCCATGCTGTCGTCGAAGACTATTTATGCATATAATAGTCGAAGTGCATTATGTAGTCGAAGTCTGTTCTAATATGCAATATTTGTAGTTAGCTCATGTTATGATGTCGTAGATATGCATGTCATGTATTTATGTTTTCATCATACATAGGTTATGATTCTATAAATAGGCTGTTACTATCACTTGTTTGTGTGTAGTTGTTGGTTGTTATTATTCACTTGTAATCGATTTTGCCCTAATTGAGAAAGTGAATAGAAAAACGGTTCATGGCACATATAGGCTTCATTGGGAGCCAGTTCAACCATTGTTTTTACTCAAGATTTCAACTTGGAAGTTCACTTATTTTTCTATTGCTTTATGTGGATGATATCCTCATAGCAAGCAACAATGTCGAGGATGTAATGAAGGTAAAGAAAAAGAAGGTATCTTTTACTAACTAAAGTCCCTCTTTAGATGAACGTTTCATGGGATTCTTCCGATACTTGCTAACTAACAAGTGTTCTAAGTAGCACTCATTAGCAATTGTCTTATTTTGAGAAACATATTTTATTTACAGAAAAAGAAAACATACTGATAATATAAAATATTTTTACATTGTCAACCAATAAGAGACATGCATCACAATAAATCTCAATTTTATTTTTAAAATACTGAAATAACATGGCAAATATAAGAATTTTGACTAATTATATGTGTGAAATTGTTTTTCACTAACGGTCCACTATCTTTAAACTCTTTTATTTATTAATTCTTTATACCAAAACACTAACCATTTAACTATTCATGTCTCTAATCATTAACAAGTTTGCTATCTCTACACCACTTTTTACACCTACAATATATTCACTATTCACAAATACAGTGAATAATAACGTAAACAGTGTCGTGAACAATGATTTGAACAGTCATCATGAATAATGCTCCGTAAACAATGCATTAACAGTACTCGTGAAAAGTACATGAGCAATGATTTTTAGTAGTAAAATAAAACTGGTTAATATATTATAAAAAATTGGTTAAAAAAATAATGGAGTTGGTTGATAAATGTTTAAATATTAAAAATAAATAAAATAAAATTGGTTAATAAAATATAAAAAATTGATTAATAAACGTCTAGAATTTAAAAATAATTTTTAATAGTAAAACAAAGTTGATTAATACAATATAAAATATTGATTAATTGAATTATGAAATTGATTAATCACAATTTTATAATGATACCTCTTAATCTAAAAAATTAAAAATTAAAAATTAAAAAAATATTTATATTTTAAAAAATATATTATTTTATTATTATAATATTTTATTATTCACCATATTGGTGAACAGTTAAATACTACAATGTAATACTACAGTGTAGTGTATAACTTTAGTGTAGAAATATCATTTTTCAATCATTAATTTTGTGACAATTTATAACATTACACTAATCAAAATCATAGGAGTATATGTGGCACAAGTACTGATAAATACCTAATCATTTAACCATTCAAATAAAATCTTGAGTTAAGATCGATGCGTTTCAAAAACTTACGTTGAGCTATATTAATTTAATATATAATGAAATTTATTTATTTATTTCAATTACGCATAAATACACTTAAATATTTGTATAAATTATATTTTGAAATTTGAGCCATCTAAAAAATATTTTTACACCATATCCCCACATGATTGAATGATATTCATAAATATTTGAAAATTTATATGCAATATTTTTAAGCTAACTCGAGTAAATTAATTCTTTTGATTTATTTATTAGAGATTTTGTAATCGATAAAAAAAAAACTTATTAATCTGTTTTGTTATTTTACATTTATCGGTCATTCTTGGTAGCCAAGGATGACTTGCAATTTAAAGTGTTGCTCCCATTGCTGCTGAGAACACCTAACTAGCACACACATAATTTCAAAACTACCAATCAGATACCTACTCTCCATTAATGCAATCCTTATAAAAATTCTTCACCTTCACAAACATTCCCTACCTCTCAATTGAACAGAGTCTCCTCCTGACAATAGAAGATAAGATATTCAAAATGGTTTGGTGGTCCCCTAATCCTCCCACACAACATGGAAGGTTTTGTCTACATGCATTATATGTCTGTTTTGTTCTATACATATCACAATATGGCAAACATGCGAACCTTCTAGCAAGCACCAAATTCTGTTAGTAGGGCTTCCTGCTCCATATCTCAATCCTCTTTTATTACATTCACCCACCATATGAAGACATTTTTAAAATGTGTTGATCATATACTGTATGTCAACAAATAATAAGATACCAACACCTGCTTACAATAACACCTGCTTGTATAACAAGCATAAAAATGTGGAACAATCAAACAATAGATTCTACCACTAACTGGATTTACATAGTTTCAAACTTGAAATCAATGTAGCCAACAGTGTTGTTGGTGGCAGAGCCAAAATTCTGCAATACCAACAGTGTTGTGGCGCCGTCGTAACAGATTATGGCAGAAATATCTGTGAGCCCGAAAACCACCATTGATATCTGCCATGACCGATATTCGACATCACTAGTTGACGATTATTGCAGAGTGATACTACCAATGACATTATTGTAAAAAAAAAAAACAAGGCAACTCAGAAGAATCAGAGCATTCCATTTAATCCACGATAATCACAAAGATCGTACCAAACAGAATTCATATCTTCTGTAACACCGACACCTCTAGAAAAATGTGTGTCTGTGTCAAACACCGACACTTGTGATTATATTTAATTTATTCATTTTTCAAATTATTATTACCATCGTCGACGTGTCAGGGTTCTTACTTCATACATCATATCTATAAAATAAATGTGCCAAATAGTTGTAGTCATTAATTTACATGAAGGATAGCATCTGAAATGACTTGTTAAGTTTTCAAAAACTATTTCTTGTTTCAATTGGTATGACAACTCATTGAGAATCGCCGCCAGATCCTAGTATCTACAAAAACCAGAAGAAAAAAAGTAGTGCAGACAAAGTTTACACAAGTTGCGTAACAGGAAGCTCAAAATTGACAATATATATAACTATAAATGTAAATTAATTACATGGGACAAAGATGTTCGTACATGAAGTAATGATGCATCGATTTTAATGAATGATTTAGCCAACAGAAGTATCGTAAACAAAGCCTACACAAAAAAAACTCAACTCCATCCTTGGTTTTCCAATGGATAGAATGAAGAAGCAACATCAATTCACTTTTCTTTTAAGAAAAAGCGGACTTAGCTTATTTAACCTCATTAACCTTTCTAAGCTATCAAATGACAACAATACATCTAGAATTAGTTCAGGAAACGAAAAAAACAAAGAATTGTTCTAACAAAACTTGCAGTTATATGTACTTGCACTGGATTTCAAAAAGGATGTTTCTCAAACGAGAACCTAACGTTTCCAAGTCTAAAAAAAAGTGAAGCGGGAACACATTAGAACTCAGTTCAAACAAGCATCTGAATTTTGCTATGCTTGAGATTCTGATTCTGAGAATCCTCTCTTTCCCTGCTAGTACTAAAACACGAAAAAACAAGTAAAGCTAATAACTCACGAGAAGCCTTTACCGAGCTTCTGAATCGCACAAAACAGTTTCCTTCGGGATCCAACAGCATTAATCCCCATATCTTTAAGATCCTCCAGTGTCAACTTCGGCAAAACCTCATCATCAACTTCATGCACTTCAAACACCGGTGCATAACGGCCTAATCCCAACCCGTTAAGCCAAATCCTAATCCCGTCTTCGCCAGACCTAATCCTCCCACCATTCTCATTCCTAACATCATTTTCAGATGGCCCAGATAAATCAATTCCATCATTATGATCTCTACTCTTAAAAGACCTCCTATGCCCATCAATCCCTAAATTCTCCATGGAATGAATCGGGCTTTGTTCCTTCAAAGGACTCTCAGAATTCTCCATATCGAATTCTCTATACCCACCATCTTCCACATCTTCAGCAGCACTATATTTTTCCTCTAATTCAACAACACCAGTTCCGCTACCGCCACCACCACCACCACCACCACCGGTATCATCGATTCTGGAAACCCAACTCGATCTCGCCCTCTTGGTGACAACGGGACCTCTTTTCTTGGACTCCTTAACCTTCCAGCTACCAATTGCAACGGTTCCATCAATGTTCCCTTCTCTCTCTTCACCGTCTAGGGTTTCATTGAAATCGGCAACAGAGGTCAAATTGGTTAAAGGTCGAGTCTTTGAAGGTTTACCTGAATCTTTTTCCTTGCGTGGATGATCGAAGGCGAGTTTCCAGCTCTTGGTGTTGCGTCTGGCGTGAGATTCGTAAGGTGGGTCGACGCCGATGTCGCCTAATCGGACACTGGGCCTTCTCTGCCGTTTCGTGGCGATTTGTTCGGTGGTGGTCGGAATTAGGGTTCTTCCGCCGTTTGTCTGCCCCTCCGCCGGTTGAATCTCCGACATTTGTCTGCAATGCACAATTAGGGAGGGATAGAGTTTTATTTTGAGAGAGAAAGTGTAGTGAGTGAGGTTAATCTATTTGAAGGTTGTGTTGTGTTGTTTTGGGGAAGTTGGGGGTTGGAAGCATGAGGCTTTGTTTGTTATTTTTAACTTTGTAGCTTCTCTCTTCCCTCTATAATGGAACTTGATCTGGTTTCAATGTATGACATGTACTTCCTATATAAAAAATATGTGTACTAGACCATTTTAAGGAATGTAATTAATATTATATGGAAAAATAAAATTAGAGAATAGGAGATAAGACAAAAATTTAACTTTTTTGTCACTCACTAGATCATAGAACAAATTTTTTTGTTATGAAACTAAATAAAATAATAGAATATAGAAAGAGACTATTTAAATAGTATATTCTAGTATGTATATTTTGAGATGTTTCAACTATAACATGAGTCTTATTTATAGGACATATATAATAAATAGATAATTAATATGAAATCTCTTAATTGATATGAATGTCATTTATAACACTCTCTTTTGGATGTTCATAAAGAATATGCCTCATTAAAACCTTAATAAATAAAATTCAGTGGAAAAATTTTAAAGAAGGAAAAAAAGTATAATATTTTTTGTAAGAAAACTACCTCGTTACTGATCAATACAGATCATTACAGATAAGAAAGATAAGAAAGAAAATTATAGGGAGACAATCATCCATTATTCATAACAGTCCTCCTCAGATGTTTGTTCAGGACATGTCTCGTTAAAACCTTACTAGAAAAAACCCAGTGGGGAAAAATCTAGTGAAAGAAAAAGAGTACATATCCTTTTAAGAAAAATTCATTTCTCCATCTCAGTTGAACAAACTTAGTTCTCCCTCTCAGTTGAACGATCGTTTCTTCGACGATGAAGACCAATCTTTTGCACTAAAAGGTCTGCAGGATGAACAAGTTTATTGGAGCTTAAATCACCACTTTGCTGGAGATCATGAGTGAAAAAGAACTTTGGAGAAATGTGTTTTGTTTGATCTCCTTTAATATAATCATCTTTCAATTGAGCAATGCATACAGTATTATTTTCATATATGGTTGTTGTATTTCTTTCTAGAAGTTAAATCACAAGTCTTTTGTGTGTGTGTTGAATTTGGAATCTCAATCAAGCGCATTCTCGACTTGGCTCATGTAGTGCTAAAAATTTCTTCATAATTAATGAAGTTACTACAGTGATTTGTTTCACAGGTCTACATGAAATAGTTGTACCATCAAGTAAACAAACAATCTATGTGATGTGTCGTTATAAGGATTTGACAAGTAACTTATTTCTATGTAATTTGTTAAATATAATTTGAATACCTTGGAATAAAACAAACTCATGTTCATTTATCCTTAAGATAATAAAGTATATGTTGGACTTTGTTCAAATGTTTTTCATGTAGATGAAGAATTATATCTTACTAATAGAGTAATAGAAATTGAAATATCGAGGTTTGTATAATTAGAAAGATAGCTCAGTGCTTGAATTACACTAAGATATGGTACTTCATGATCAATTAGTTTCCATCCTCTTTTCAAGGTCTACAAGAATCTTTTACACGTCCAACGATCTAACATCATCAGGGTACACGACATACTAGATTTGTCCATATACAAATGTTTTAACACTTATGTTACATTTTCTATATAACCTTCTCGATGTATGAAAGTTTCATTATCTAAATATTCATTTAGTAAGGACTTTTTCTTTAGTCTTTCATATCAAATAATTTCCTTAAATAATCTATAGCATTTGAAAACTCTTCAGGAGTTTCAATAATATTTATGTCATCTACGAATTTTTTTTATTAATAACCATGTATTAAAAAAAAATCACAAATAACCGCGTTTCGGAAAAAATTACGCAAATAACCATGTTTCAGATGACTCCCCAAAGGAGGAGCCATCTGAATTGGCGCATGCACCCAATTTTTAAGGGGAGGCGCCATCTCACTTGGCGCCTATGTGCTTAGGGCATGCCCTAAGCCAAGTGAGATGGTGCCTAGGTGTTATTTTAGGGCAAAATGTAATTTTTTTTGTCTGGTGCGTTGCGTGTTGGATACAGGATCAACAAAATGGACTTTTTATTTAAAAATAATAATTACATCCAACTGTATTACATTAAAATAACAGATTAAAAAAACAGATAAAAAAATACAGGAAAAAAAAACAGATAAATCAGTGATCCCCCGGAACCCGGTAATGTCCCCCGGTTCCGCATCCCCGTCCTCGCCTTTCTCATGCTAGGTGTCGTCGCGTTTCCTGCTGCGGCAAGGTCGATGGCCCAGCGAAGTCAATGCGGTCCGGATCCATAAAATCAGTCAGATCTCCATATCTAGAAGATCCGCTTTGGTACAGTCGGTTACCCATACCCTCAAAGTTTGGTCGTGTTGGCGGTGGGTGGGGTTCCATAGTGGGTCGGTAGCATTGGTCGTCTGAGTACGGTGGGTAGAAAGGAAATGAATCTTGGGGTGTCTGGTATTGAGGATGTTGGGTGGTTTGGTGATATTGTGGTTGATGGTAGGCTGGGTCGGTTTGTTCGTAATCTTTCGACATTCCCATATCAGGGCTAAGGCTGGATGTTGAGGGGCCCATATTGGGATATACGGAAGACTAAAATTGTGTGTGGGGTATGCGGGTGTGCTGGTATTGGGATTGGTATTGTGGTTGGGTGTGAGGCATATCGGGGTATTGGTAGTGTGGTGGTGATTGTGGTTGGTTGTGTGGCATTTGAGTGTAATTGTGTTGTGGTGGGGACTGTGGTTGGGTGTTTGTGGGTCTGTTTCTTCTTGGGGGTTGGTGGGAGGTTGATGGGTTTTGGGTTTGTTGTTGGGGAAACGAGGGTTGTGCCCATTGTGTGCGTGGGTCAACCAAGTACCTTGGATGAGACACGTGCATTTCAGGGTTACTAACCGACCTGTACCAAGACAAATATTGATCTGTGTGTCGCATATTACCTTGATTAAGGAAACCGGGAATTGCAAGACATAGCGGTGACGCCTCTGCCACATCTTACACCATTCCGGAGCGAAGTCTTTCCAGTTGGTAAGACCCCACTGGGCGTCGATCCTTTTAAGATGCCATGGGGACAAACAAGTTGGATCACTTGGTATCTCTTGATGCATTCCGAACTGCATCTTCACAAGGTCGATGTGGTGCATCTCCATAATATTGAACCGAATGATTGCAGTCTTCGCGGTCCAAGTTGCTGCATCCTCCGGGTTTAGATCATGGCCCAAACCCAAATATGGTCTCCAGACAAACTGCGATAAAATTTAAATCAGGTTAACGCAAAAGTAATGTATAAATAATTTAAATGAAGAAAAGTTAAAAGCTACGACGTACGTCATCCGGGCCTAAGTGATCCAACAGATTGCGGTATAGTGCGACATTGAATCTTGGATTCTTGCCGTAATCCATACCCCTCACACAGTACCTAAAGGAAATGAAAAACATTTTATTCTTAGCATATATTTGGGGAAGAGATGAATAGTAATAAATGCTATAACTTGATGACTTACTTTGTTGCGTACGGGAAACCGAAAGTGTTGTTGTTAACGGGGTTTAAGGACTCCATCCTCCACCAACCCCATGCTTGTAGTAAAAAAGCGCACCCATAAAATGTATATTTTTCCTTGACTGCATTTTTGCACAAGGAACTGTATAGGTGGGCTAAAACTGCAGAACCCCAACTATATTTTCTTGTTTTTTCAAAATTTCTTAGTAAATGTAAATACATAAAATTTACACTATTTCCCGTACTTTCAGGAAATAAAAAGGTACCAAATAGTATCATAAGATAAGTTCTGGCTTTTACTACCCTGTCATTCTCGGAGGAATTTTCGTTTAATTCCAAACTTGCATAATGACTTTTCAGCTCAGTGAGTAGTATTCCCTGACCTCTCGCACCACCACCTTCCATCATATCCCTGCCCAACAGTTCTTCACACTGAGAGTTGGGTTGTTGAACCGACCCGTTCACGGCCTTACCATCGACAGGGAGACCTAGTAGCATGTACACATCCTCTAGCGTGATGGTACATTCACCTATTGGTAGGTGAAATGTATGGGTCTCTGGTCTCCACCTTTCAAACATTGCAAGAATGAACCTCGAGTCAATGGTGCAGTTGGAGATCTTTATGACATGTCTAAAACCTGTGTATACCAGATATGGTACGATAAATGGGTCGGGAGCCAGGTAGTTGTGAGAACGGATTCTGAATCTTTTTGTGTCCCGAGTTCATAATGTAACATGTGTAAGATTAAGTAAGACGAACAACGCATTATCTGAAGTATGAAAAATGTATAACCAAAATAGAAACTTACAAATGCGGCAATGTTTTCCCTTGTGCCTCTGTGAGTATCGCCCATTGTTAGAAGAGCCATTGTTTAAAATGCTTGAGATTATGAAATACTTAGGAAGAGATAGAGAGTATGAAAGACTTAGGAAGAGATAGAGAGTATGAAAGACTATGAAAGATTTCGTAGCAGAGAGTGAGACTTGTATGGGTGTGAGAGATGTATGATATGGTATGTATTTATAGGCAAATAAATTTCATAGTGGTTGTTGGTGCTTGCATGCATGCGAAGTGTCACTCTTGCAGGCTAGGTGGCAGCCTAGGGGGTTACATATATGCATGCATGCATGTACAAAAAATGAAAGGTGTCACTCTTGCAGTTTAGGTGGCAGCCTAAGGATGTATCACGATTGGACAGTAAGGGAGGCGCCATTTGACTTGGCGAAAGATTACAAAAATGAATGGTGTCGCCACCCCAATTGGAGAATAAGAGGTGTCCTTTGTTGCAGGCTAGGCTCAGGCTAGGTGACAGCCTTTGAGATTCCTTGCCTGAATGCATGTAAGCCCATTGGAGGTGATGGGAGGGGACTTACAACATACAATATAGGTGCAGAGTAGGCGCAAGCTAGGTGGCAGCCTAGGGGGTTACATATTTGCATGCATGTATCACGATTGG